AGGTCTCAGCTTCCTCATCTGTCGTAATAATAGCTTCTGTTGCTATGTAAGGAGCTTAGCGCCTGGAGGCGGAGACAAACCTGAATCAAGCGAGGCTGCTAATGAACATTTTACTACAAACCAGGTAGCGTCTCAGAAGGCAAGGACTCTGGTTCGGAATCCTGACCCAGCCTGTGGAACCTGGGAGGGCATCACCACAGAACTGATGTTGGAAGCAGGGTGTGAAGGATGATGAGGGGCAAACCAGGAGGAAAGGGTGAGCTAGAAGGAACAGTGATTGCAAAGGCCCTAAAGCAGGCAGACCTGGCACACGCAAGAAACCGAAATGAGGCCGTGGTGGCTGGAGATTGGTGAGCGATGAGGACAGCCAGGCCGGAGGAGACTGAAGAGGCAGGCAGCTATGGGCTGGGGGGAGCAATAAAGGGTGTTAAGCAGGCGAGGAGGTGAGTTGTCAGATCTGTGAGTTGGAGACCTTTGTGGTTGCCAAGCGGATGATGCACTTGTAGGTGCAGAGACTGGAGGTGGGAGAGCAGTCAGGAAGCTGTTGGAGAGTTTGCCTGAGGGAAAGAAACAGTGGTGGCTTGAAGCAGGAGGGAGGACATGCAGCAGAGGGCAAAGGATAGAGTCTAGAGAGTCATGAAGTAAAATGGTAATACAACTGATAGGAGTAACACCAGCAGACAACATTTACTGAGCACTGCCTGCATGCCAGGCCCTGTGGCTCGGGAGCTCCCCACATATTACCTCAGTAAATCTTTCCACAGCCCTTTGGGTGCGGGTTCTGGCATAAGCCTATTTTAGGGTGAGGAGGCTGAGACTCTGACTCGGAGATTCTGGGTTTGTGCCTTTCTTTACTAGGATGGGAGCTGGGGTTGGGGGTCGAAGGTACCATTCAGAGACACAAGGACACCTGTGAAAGCATCGAGAGAGAGAGAGAGAGAGAGAGAGAGAGAGAGAGAGAGAGAGAGAGAGAGAGAGAACCTAATGGGGGATACACTGTGGCAGGGAGCCCTTGGGGTGGCTCCCTCACCACGGCTCACGGGTTTCATGATCTGGGCTCCGAGGTGAGAGAGGCAAGCTACCTAGAAAGGCCCTGGTTGCAGCTCTGTCCCCAGCCCCTCTGCCTGCCAAGCCAAAGCTCCAAGAGTCCCATGTCAGCTGGAACCCAAGGGAGAAACAGAAGTCTCTGGCTGGCCTCTTCACCCCAGCAACTAGGTGAATTTCCTTCCCAGGGAGTTGAGGAGGCATCCCCATGGGGGTGGGTTCAAGACAGAGTGACAAAGACCTAGAGTTGGAGGAGAAGTGGGCAGTGGGTGGATGGAGGAGGGGTTTCCATTGGCATTTGCTCATCATTTTGGAAGGTCAAGTGACTCTAGGGGACAGATGTCAACACACACACAAATACACACACACTAGGATACTCTCTGGCACAGGGCCCACCATTGATCCTGACCTGACACAGAACTATGTTCCTGATGACAACATGCAAATCACAGATGAAAGCCAAAGGCCTCAGACCTGTACCTGCCCCCAGGGAAGAGAGGAGGGCAGGCCGCCTCAACACAGTCCTGCCTGCTCCCACACCTCCCACGGCTTTGCATGCTGGGACTGCTGTTCCCTGCCATCTGCCTGGCTAATTCCTATTTGCCCCTCTGAGCTTCCCCAGCATTACCTCCTCTGGGACAGTTCTTATGCTCTGTCCCAGGAAGCTCCTTCACAGCCCTCACCACATAGTGTCATCATCGCCCTTTCCTCGTGTGTGTCTGGGGCACTACCCCTTGCCCCAGAATACAAGCTGGGCTCACTGTGTCCCAGCTCCCTTTCCCACCCCTCACACCCTCAGCCTGGGTGCCCAGAAAACCACAGGAGAGAAGACCAGGGAACCAGCTGCTCTGTCACCAGAGAGGGGACCTCCCTCCCCAGCTAAGGAGCCCCTACTTCCCGAGACAATGTCGAGGCCTGGGTGAGGTGGCCTCACCACCTGTCCATGCAACAACTGGCCGGGGCTACAGAGTATTTCTATTGATGGGAAACGAGGAGCAAAAGTGCTCACTAAGGCGGCTCAGCGGTCCCAGGAGATCGAGGCAGCAAGCAGGAAGCTGGTCTGCAGTTTCATCTTCCTCAAGGAACACGCATATCCAGACAACACAAGGTCTCTCACATCTCACATGCAAGCACACACACCAACACGGACAGTTTCTCACACAGTCACACACAGATTCCCCCCCCACACACAGCCTTACACGCACAGCTTCACACATCAGTGCACTCACACTCACCTCAAGACTCAAAGCTCTCTCAAGAATATCTCTCCCTTTCCCTCTCCCTCTCCCTCTCTTCCTCTCTCTCTCTCTCTCTCTCTCTCTCTCACACACACACACAGTATCTCTCTTACACATATAGTCTCTTTTCCTCATGTACACACTCTTCCCCCACGCAGTCTCATTCTCACACACAAAGTCCATCTCTCAAAACACACACAATCTGTCTCTCACACTCACACAGAATTTCTCTGGTAGAGACGACAGGATGTCACAGTCAGTCTCATCACACACACCACTGTCACACCCTGAGTCTCACACATATTTTCATTCACATACAGTCTTTCTCACACACATGAAGAGTCTCTCACAGCCATAAAGAATCTCTCTTGCACAAGTCCTCTCACAACTGCAGCTTTTCTTTCACACACATATACAATGTCACACACATACAGGTTTTGGCCTAAAATCTACAAAAAAAAAAAAAAAAAAAAAAGGAAATCCCACCACTTGGAAGAGGCTGGGGGGGAGGGGTAAACAAAGGTGACAGCAGCAGCAGCAGCAGCAGCAGCAGCAGAGCAAAAATGGAGGGGGAAGGGGGAGGGCAGCCGGCTGGTCTCTGCGCAGATGAGCCGCAGAGAGGCAGCGCAATGCAGCGAGGCCTGCTGGAGGAAGGGCGGGCAGCAGGAAGCCTGGGTTCTAATCCAGGCTCTGCCCTCGGTTCCGTGTGCCCTTGGGCAGGTCCCTCCCCCTGTGGGCCCCGGTGTCCTCATTTGTCACTGAAGGAAGTTGGAACGACTCTAAGAGGCTACCGGGGAGAAAAGGCAGTGGCATTGATCGGCTGGGTGGGGGAGGGGGAACCTTCCAACTTATCTCTATTCCCTCTGCTACCCAGCTTTTCCCTCCAAGTCTGCTCTTCAATGGACACTTGATAGAATCAGGGCTTTTAAATAAGGTTTTGTTCACCAACCAGCCTCCACATCACTAGTCAGCCCCTTTATCTGCATTGGATGAAGTTCACCCCACAGCCTAGGAATGTTCAGCGGGAGAAGATGGACAGGAGAGGGGGCTGGAACCTGCCCCACATGACCCCTGCCAATTCTGAAACTCAGGGACATAGGTCAGAACCCTGAAGATGAGCCCAAGGTGGCCAGGAGGATGGCGCTTCTGAGGAGGATGAGGTCCCAGGAGACCGGTTCTGGTCCTGCTTAAGCTTCTAGCTCCCTGGGTGACCTTGGACAGGGCCCTCAGGGGCAGCATGAGGAGTTTGGCCTTCTCCCTATTATCTCCCGCCCACAACACACACACACACACACACACACACACACACATCTATTCTAGGCTTTAATGTATGACATTCTGACCTCCTAATCCCTTCTTACAGGATGCTAAGACACTGAGTGTTTATCTCAGTAACACACCTACCAGGCCTGTGCCTAAACACAGCTTCTTTCTGCTAGTGGACACCTCAGTGTCCCCAAGCCCCCTTCCCACACTGATGATCCCCAGCCGCTCAGCAGACACTCCTGCCCCCTCCCTCGCCCCATCCTTCCCCCTCAGTTCTAATGGGCGGGAGGGAAGGCCTGTGGATCAGTAGAGTGGGCAGAGTCAGCGGTTTGCCTGGTGAGGGGGTGGAGGTGGCTGTAGATGGGGAGGGGCTCTGCTTTAAATGACTACCTCTGACCCTCTCCTTCATGCCTTAGGCTCCACTCAGGCCTCTGAGGACAGAGTCCAATGCAGGCAAGAGCTATCTCTTTCAAGGGAGGTGACTGCTGCCAGGCTCTTCCTTTTGGGCTTAGTTCAGTAGCAAAACCCCTTAGAATTCACCAGCCCCCCTCTCCTATTTTACAGATGAGGAAACTGATCCAGAAAGGCCACCTGAGGGGCCAAGGTCAGATGTCCTTTCTCCCCTGAAACAAACTGGGGTCAATCATGAAAAGGGGGGTGGCTTCCTCCTTGTAGGCTCCCCCTGGACACCCCCTCTCTGCCCCTGACAAGTCAAGGCATAAGTCCAGCGCCCCCTTCCAATACCCTGCCCTTCTGACAAGGAAGAAGGACAGCCTCTGCGCCCAGGATCAGGTCTCAGAGGAGTCATATCCACCTCCCCTCAGCAGAGTCCTATACCAACTTCCCAGTCAGCGATTGACCATAAAGATCCCCCCTTGCCCACCTCCTCCAGAATGGCCTGAGGCTGCTCCCTGGGGAGAAAGGGGGTCCATCTCCAGCAGCAGACTCAGGCCTCAAGCCCTTGTCCATGGGCCCTGGCTGGCCCCAGATGCCCTTACCTGGCAAGAAGGAAGGGGGCCCAGCTTCCCTCCCCATATCTACACCCAAAGACCTTCACCGTGTACATCTGCACACACACACACACACACACACACACACACACACGCATCACAGGCATCCTGCACACTCAAGCATTCACACATGCTCACTCCTTCTCACTACATCCTTTACCCAACCAAATACACACCACCCCATTTACATAAATATGCACACACAATCCACTCACACACACACAAACACACCCATTCATACTCGCTCATACATATTACATCTGGGAATACACAGACCTTACTACATACAAACCTAGTCACCCTCGGGAGGGGGGAAAAAACCATCCCCTGCCTTACACACACCACATACACCCCCTTTCAGTTTTGACTCCCTAGTTATCGAAATAACCACACCTCCACCCCCCTCCCCCGCCCCATCTTCCGACAGGTAAGCGCAGCTTACCCTGGCGTAGCGAGATGAGTAGGGATCCTCAAAGAGCGCCCAAATGCGCGGCTGCCAGCGGCGCCAGAAGCCGCCGGGCCGCCCGTCCGGAGAGTCGCTGAGCGCCAGGCGCTTGGTCATTTCCAGCTCGTCCTCCCCGTCGCCCGAGTCCCCGGGGCCGTCGGCGTCCGCGTCGTCCGCGCTGTTGTCCAGGGGCGCCCCGCCGAAGCTGTCCAGCGCCTCCTCCGCGTCCCGGTGCTGCCGGTAGGTCATCCAGCAGCAGGGCTCCACGTCCGTCTCGTCGATGCCCCAGAAGGCCAGCTCCTCCTCGTAGAGCGGCCCGCACACGTCCGCGGGGCAGTGCAGCTTGCCCGTGCGGTAGTAGTTCAGGATGTGCGCGAAGACGCCGGGGTGGCGGTCGAAGAAGAACTCGTCGGCGCGCGGGTCATAGTCGAAGTGGCTGTGGGCGTCGGGCTCCGCCAGCCAGGCGAGCCGCGTGCCGGGCAGCGTGCGCAGCGTCGAGCGGTACGTCTGGTGGCGCGTGCCGCCCACGTTGATCACGATGCGCTCGCTCTCGTCCCCCTGGCCCATCGCGGCGCCTCCTTAGGCATGGCGCGGCCCAGCGACACCCATGGGAGCGGCCGCCAGGGGGAGTTGGCGCCGGGGAGGGGGCGCGCGGCCTCCTCCCCTCTCCCCCCAGCCGTCGGGGGTGAGGGGGTGGGGTGGGGTGGTGGTGGTGGTAGTGGGGAGGGGTACAGAAGAGCGGCTCTGGCGACCCAAGCCCCTCGGGGAGGTTTCTGGTCGGGGTGCTGGGAAAGTGTGCGGGATGATCCCAAGGGTCTCTAAGGCGCCAGATGCAGGAGGGAGCTGGTCCGGCTGCGGAGGAGGAAGCAGAGGAGGAGGAAAGGAGGGCGGCGGGAGAGAGGGAAGGAGGAAGAAAGGGAGGGGTGGGCGTTCAGCGGAGAGCCCCGCGGGGAGGAGGGAAAAGGGGGTGGGGGGACCGGGCTCCCGTCCCCATCTCAGCCGAGAAAATGTAGAAAAGTGACACAAAAGCTTTGGAGGGTAAGGTCAGCTGCTCCCGGAGCCAGGCGGATAGACCAGCCCCCAGGAGGAGGAAGGGTGGAGGGGAGATTGGCGCTCCGTTGTGCAGTGGTCGCCGCCGCAGCGCGCTCTCTCTCGGCGGCGGCGCGGGGGAGATGGATGCCCGCTGCCTTCCTCCCTGCGCGGCGGGGCTGCAGCTATAGGGGCGCAGGGCGAGCTCCGGCCCCCTCCCTCTTTCTTTGCCTGGCTGCCTGCTGCCCCCGGCGGCGGGCGCGCCTGCCCGCCTGCCCGCCCTGCTCGCTCCTTCTCCCCGCCTCCCGGAGGAGATGGCGGGGCCCCCGGACAGGGGCACGGGGACGCCGCTGCTCGGTGCGGAGCGCTGCGCTCCGGCTCCAGCTGCGGTTCCGCTGGGCTGCGCTCGGACGCCGGCGGCTGCGGTGCTGAAGGGACAGCTCCCGGTTGCGGAGCCTGGTGGGGCCCCGCGGGGGTTCTCCGGGCTGGATTCGGTCTGCGGGGCCGCCGGGCACGGGCTCCGGTGCCTCTGCGCTTGGCGCTCCGCGCCCCGCTTCAGGCAGGCGCTTGGCGATGCCGGCCGAAGAGATGGGGCTGCGGTCCGTCGGGCCCGGGAGGTGGGGGTGGCAGGTCGGGGCGCGGCGCGGCGCGGCGCGGAGAGGCCAGGGAAGGTGAGGAGGCGCGGAGCGGCCGCCGCCGCGACGCTGCTGCCGCCCGGGCTGCTGCCTGGCTGTCCTGCTCGCCTGCTCGCTCGCGCGGTCCGCGTCCAGCCCGCCGCTCTCCGGACACGGGCACACGGCGCGCGCAGCCGCACTCGCCCCCGGAGGGAGGCGCCGCGCTGGGTCCTAAAGAGCCCTGCTTCCGCGCCCCCTCCCAGCCTCTCAAGGAGTTGGGCCTCCCTCCTCAACCCCGGCGCTGGGGGCGCCCTCCCTCCCGGCACGGCTCCTGCAGCTCCCCGGCACCCCTCAGAGCTTCACTTTTCCGAAAGGGAAAGCCACTCGATGGGCCAGGGCTCCCGGAGACGTCTAGGTCAGCCTCCCTAGGTCAGACTGAGGTGAGAGGAGTGTCGCACCTGCCCTCCTCTTTTCAAACTGGAGACTGACTGTCTTATCCCTTAGACGCCCCATCCCTAGGAGAGACACCGCTCCAAGCAACCCTTGAATACTGATCCTTGCCACTGGATCTGAAGCCAACATGATCCTCTCTCATAGATCTCAAAATGTCTCTCTTCCCCTCTCCCCCAACTCCACATATATAACACACGTGCTGTCCTCTAAGCTCTCTACTAAGAATCCAATAATCTTGGATGCTTATTAACCCATTTCGACCCCTTACTGACCCCAGGCTTTCATAACTGCAGGCTGACCCTAGTCTCCTGTGAGTGCCACACCTTCTGCCATATGGATCCTGCTTACTGATCCTCCCTGGATCCTTACCTGGGGGTCCCTTATGAGAAGGGCACTCTACCCTTAGAGGTCTGAAGGTGGTGCTGAAGGTCGATGACCCCTCTTCTCACCGCAGGACTTCAGTTGCCCTGGTTGGCAAGCAGGTCCTGGGTCTGGGGCTGGATGGGAGCAGCTTCAAAGATGACCCTGGGAGTAGGCGAAGCAGTTTGGGCCTCCTGGCCAGTCTTTGTTGCCAATAGCTCCATTCACTCAATCGAGAAATCACTCCTTTACTCCCTGCTTGTTCCAGGCTCTGTCCCGGGCAACAGGAGCGCAGGATAGCCTGCCCTCAAGGGGCTCCCAGGCTGGTGGGGAAGTGGACAGGTGGGCCCAGACAGGGCTGGGAAGGTCAGGCCCAGCTCCAGGGATGGCTGTGCTGGGAAAGAGGCTTATTGATCTCAGCCCAGCCCAATCGAACACAAGGCTGCCTGGGCAAAGGGCGATTTAATTAAGAAGACACGAGATTCCTCTTATTTACCTGTCGGCACTTGCTCACTGTGCAGACAGCTGTCCCTTGACACTGACCCACAGACACCATGTGGGCCTGGGGACAAAGCAGTGCTGCTGACATCTCTCTCCTCACTTGGCCAGGGGAATCCCAGCCCCGGGGCAATCTGCGGGTGGTGGGGGAAATGGTTTGGAGGAGTAGAGATGGTTGGAGAGAGACCAGGGGCAGGGCAAGAGGTGAGGGATAGCAGAGAAGGACAAGGGGAGAGACAAGACAGGCAGCGTTAGGGCAGAAACAAGAAGAGATGGGCAGAGTTAAAGAGAAGGCTGGAGTATGGGGCCAGGATGGGGGAGCCAGTCCTCCCTCCAGAGATCGGTCTGTGTTATTCCTCTACATGGGAGCTATTCCCCTGCAATCTCAGAACACCGCAGGGATGGGAGTGCTTTGAGTCTCCCTCTCACCCCAACCAGTGAGCCCCATCCCCTCACCTTGAGGAGGCCTGACCTGCTGTGGCTCAGCCTAGCCCAAATTCAGACATCCTCGACACAGGCTCTCAGAAAGCTCTGCCCCAAAGCAATGAGGTGATAAAACAGAGAAATGGACACCCCAGAAGGAAAAGAAAAGGATAGGCCCACAGAGAGGCAGGCACACATACACCGGGCTGGGAGAAATCAGGATGGGGAGAGACAAGAAAGAGCCTCTCCGAACCTTCCCTTCCTCCCAGCTGGATCGTCACCCCTCTTTACCTCCTAGAAAACATTCGGTGGTTCTGACAGCCACAGGGACCCTGGGTTCCGTCCCTTCCCTCTCCTGCGGGACCACCTGGGATCAAAGTATAACTCTGCAACCTTCCCTGTAGTTCATCTTATTTCCAAAAAGTGACTACCAGCCCCTCCAGGGATGCTTCTTGTTTGCTTCCCTCCACAGTGCCCAGAGCACAGGGGCTCCTCATCCAAAGCCTGGATAAGCTGAGAAAGGCCAGGAGAGGGGCCAGGATCCTAGGATCCCAGTGTCAGAGACCAAAGGAGTCTGGAGTCCTTAACTGAGATGGAGAGAGAGGGAGGCACTTAGTCAGGGCCTCTCAGGGAGTCAGTGTGGAGCCCACTCGGGCCACTACCCACCGTGAGTCACAGCAGGAAAGTGAATTATGCCCAGATGATGGAGAGAAGAAGGGGGAAAGACAGAGAGAGGCACAGGGCTCCTAGAGGGGGAAGGTCGGAGAGAAGGTTGAGTGATTAGGAGCTCAGGTCAGGCCTGGTCCTGCAGGATGTGCTAGAAAAAGAAGCAGGCCGGGGCTGGAGGGCAGGGGAATGTCAGACGGTATCCATCACATCCTAAAATCCCCTCTGAGGCCAGCAGAGAAGGATCAGAGAGAAGAGCCACCCAGATGAAGAGGGGAGCTGCCCCTGAGGGACCCCACACTGTCCCACTTTAGGATTCTCACCTTTGTCCTTGATGACACTCCCAGCACAGGCCTCAAAGAATGCCCCCTACCTTCTCTGTCCTAAGCAGGGACATAAAAGTCTCTTTCCTCACACCCTCTTCACACTGTAAGAAGGCTGGCATTTGCAGACAGCCCAGAAAAACCAAGAGGGCACCACAGGACAAGAAGGAAAAAGGCCCCAGAGAAAAGGGGGTAGGAGGAGGAATTGCTGATGAAGCCTTAGCTTCTCACCCACAACCACTAACCACAGACCCTCAGCCCAGCCAAGAGCCTCATTTCTTTTCATTCTGGAGGCATGTCCCCCACACTTCCCCCCTCACTCCCCTCCCGCCCCACTTACTCCTAGCCATCTGCCCCCTCCCTTTCAGAGAGGAAGGTTTGTGGCCCCATGCTAGAGTTGTCAGGATCAGTGGTGTGGGGTGGGCAGGGGGCAGTGCACGGATGAAGTGGTTGGTGTTCAGTTGTTATGAGCATAGAACCAGACTGCCTGGGTTCAAATCCCAGCTCCATCACTGACTAGCTGTGACCTTGGGCAAGTTACTCAAACTCCCTATGCCTCAATTTCTTTATTGTTGGCTATGAATAATAATAAGCCCTATAGTAACACCTCAGCTCAGGAATTTCTCTTGTTCAGACTAGAGGGGAGGGGTTGCCTGGCTTCAGGAAGATCAGTGGTGGGACTTGAACTGGGGCTGGATTAGAAAACAGGCGAAGGGAGTCCTGAAGCCAAATTTGGCCTATGTCCTCACACCTGGCACTTGCAGGCCTTTGATCCAATCCTGCTAGGCTCTGGAACTGGCCCAAAGCCAGCCCCCAGGCCTTTGCCCAGGTTGGCACATCTTACATGCTGCTCTCCCAGGCCCAGAGCCTCAGCATACCTGATGGGTTGGGGTGCCATCTTGTGGCTACATCCGGAAGCTAACCTAAGCTGGGCACAGATAGAGCAGGCTTTGGGGTGATAGTAAGCAATGGGATTGACAGGCATTTTCTCCCCAGACAGGAACCCTCCTTTGAAAGGATGGGGACAGTGAATCTGAAGGTGGATAGTGGGAACTTGATGACTGTCTGTGGCTGTCGGATCCTTAGCTTGAGCGCGGACCCTGGTCCCTAACCTTTGAATGTGTTAGGTGCTGAGCTGTTCCTTCCTGAAACCCCTGGACAAGTGGATCCCAGATCTGTTAGAACCGGAGAAGCTGAGAAC